TGGCTGGAGCGGCCTGAACAGAAACCGCCTAAGCAAGGCCAGTGCACACAGTTAAAATCTAAGCCAAAGCCTCATGAAGGCCTGGAATAATAATGGGCACAGCTGGTGCCTGAGCTGGCCCCACTAGATAAACCGTATCTGGTACCTGCTCCAAAGCTGGAGCGAATGGTGCATCTGCAGGCGCTGCTCTAGCTATTGTATGAGCTTCACTGCCCCTACCGCAGCCCCTACCGCAACCTCGGTCTCTCGTGGCCGTAGCTGGTGGTACTGGTGATTGTCTGTCCTATCCGATAGCACGTGTCCTCACTATCTGTGAGAGAATAGAACAACAGAGGTTTAGTTCCCGGAATCAATAAATCTACACGACAAGAATACAAAAATGTGAAGTTCCCTAAGGGTTCGGCAGCCTCTCGAAGATAAGTACAGACGTCTCCATACCGATCCGCAAGACTCTACTAAACCTGCTCATGACTCGTGAGACCTATTTAACCTAGGCTCTGATACCAACTTGTCACAACCCAAAACTTATCCTGTCGTGATGGCGCCTAACGTGGTATTAGGCAAGCCGACACCTCAAAACCTTTCCAACACTTTTAAATGAAAAATGAAATGACACAGGTTTAAATCATTAACACTCTCATAAACTGGATAGAAAGTCAAAACTCAATACGAAAATTCCTAAAACCAGGGTGTCACTGAGCATATGAGCGTCTATACAACACAAGTCTGAAAATACTGTCTATGAAAAGCTGAAACAAAATACATAAAGTAGAAAGATAGGGAGGGAGAGTCAAGGTCTGCGAATGCCGAGCAGCTACCTTGAAATCTCCAAATGATCAAGTTGCGCAGATAATCGACACCTACCGTGTCCGGAAACACCTGGATCTGCACACGAAGTGCAGGGTGTAGCGTGAGTACAACCAAATCAACAAGTAACAAGACTAACTATTAGAGTGAAAGTAGTGACGAGCTTCACGGATACAGTTCAATTATAGAAAAGTACAATACAGGAAAATAGGTATGCTTTCAGGTTCGACGATTAAAGCTAAAACAGTTAATTCATGTCAAGTTCAATTAGAACAAGATATAGTACCTCTCAGGAATTTCATGATACAGATATATGCCAGCTGAAGTATAACAGTAATGAAATCAAGTGCGTATTCTCAGAGTAATAGTCACTCAGTCCTCCCATTCACTCCAACCTCACAGTCATTCATTCCTCACAATCTCTCATTCCTCCCAGACACTCGGCACTCGCGCTCGACACTCGCACTCGCACTTAATAGGTATCTGCGCTCACTGGGGGTGTACAGACTCCGAAGGGGATCCTTCAGCCAAAGTGCTATAACAAGCCAATCATGGTATAAATCAACAAACATGCTGCGACGTGCAACCTGCTCCCATAAATATTCTTACAATCAGGCCCTCGGTCTCACTGAGTCATCAATCTCTCCAATCTCTCGGGCTCTCAATAATCATGATAATCAGCCCAAACAGCAAAGATATAATGTATCAATAAGGAACAATAGAGACTGAGATATAATATGCAAGTAAAACTGTGACTGAGAACAAAACAGCAATTTAGCAGATAATTCAACATGTAACACGACCTCTGTGGGTTCCTACAGTGCCAACACGTAGCCTAAACATGATTTCTAACATGATTTGCTGTTCAATTTCTATAACACATAGGAAATATACAGATACAGATTATTCAACTATACAGTTCCATGGAATTGACCAAGTCACATATCCTACGGTACACGCCCACACATCTGTCACCTAGTATGTGTGTCACCTCAAAACCCATCACATGACACATAATACGGGGTTTTATACCCTCAGAACCAAATTTAGAACTGTTACTTACCTCAACCGGTGCAAATCCCTACTCCAACATGCCCTTGCCTCGCGAATCGGTCTCCAAATGCCTCGAACCTAGCCACAAACAGTTCGATACAATCAACACGAGCTAAAGGAATCAATTCCATAAGAAAATACTAAGTTATTAGTCTAAAGTCAAAAAGTCGACTAAAAAGCCGGCCCCCGGGCCCATGTCTCGGAATCCAATAAAAGTCACAAAATCCGGAAGCCCATTCACCACGATCTAACTATACCAAATTTATCAAAATCCAACATCAAATCGACACCCAAATCCCCAATTTAAACTCTCCAAATCCTAGCCTTAACTCCCAAAATTACACCTCAAAACCACACTCTAGGTGGGGAATTCAACGGGAAAACGAAATTATTGAACAAATTTAACCGCAAGTGAAGAAACCCCTCGAAATCCCTCTCAAAAATCCTCCAATCCCGAGTGTGAAATGTTCAAAATGAAGAAAAATCGCGAACCCTTGAATTAATATGCACTGCCAGTGGTTCCGCTTCCGCGGTTCATTTAGCCGCTTCTGCGGCACCGCTTTTGCGGTCAGGGATCCGCACCTGCATACTTACACTCAACTCCCGATCTGCCGCTTCTGCGGCCAAGGTCTCGCACCTGCGGCCCCACGTCCACTTTTGCGTGTTCAAAACCATGTTCATGCGACCAAGTTTTGCTTCTGCGGACTCGCAGGTGCAGAAGGAGAGGTGCGCTCCTCCTTCCGCACCTACGATACACCAAAGGCCAGACCAATCTCGCTTCTGCGGCATTTCCAGCCGCACCTGCAGCCAACCCCTCGCAAGTGTGATCACACCATAAGACTCCCAGTTCAGCAATGCACTAAGTCTCATTTTCGATCCGGTAATCATCCGAAATCAACCCAAGGCCCTCGGGACCTCAACCAAACACACCAACAAGTCCTAAAATACTATACGAACTTAGTCAAGCCCCTCAAACCACATCAAAAACATGAATCGCACCCCAATTCAAGCCTAATGAAAACTAAGGAATTCCAACTTCTACAAACGATGCCGAACCTATCAAATCACGTCCGATTAACCTCAAATTTTGCACACAAGTCACAAATGACACCACGGACCTACTCCAACTCCCGGAACCCCAATCCAAGCCCGGTATCCACAAAGTCCACTCTCGATGAAACTTCCAAATTTCCAATTCTCGTCATTTCAAGCCTAGTTCCACTACGGACCTCCAAATCACAATCCGGACACACTCCTAAGTTTAAAATCACCTAACGGAGCTAATCATACCGTCAAAACTCCATTCCGGAGTCGTCTACACATAAGTCCACATCCGGTCAACCATTTCAACTTAAGCTTTTAACCTTGAGACTAAGTGTCTCAACTCATTCCGAAACCTCTTCGGACCCGAACCAACTACCCCGGCAAGTCACATAACAACTATGAAGAACAAAATGAACAGTAAATGGGAGAACGGGGCTACAACTCTCAAAACGACCGGTCAGGTCGTTACAAATGTCCGCTTTGGGACCTTGACTAATTCGGATTGGAACTAGTTAGGTTCATTAAAAAGGAAAGCGCTTTCTAACAAGATTCTTTCCATTCCCATAATTCGAACTTAAGACCTGTGGTTAAGGTGGAAGTAATTGTATCGATCTCACCACAATCGTTGATGATAGTCTGCATATATATATATATATATATATATATATATATATATATANATATATATATTGCGTCAGTGTTGATATATTGATCTGGAGATTTACGTCAGTGCATTGATTTAGGTTGGAACGTGCATATTTTTTGGGAACTTGTACATGCTCGTGCATAATGCTAAGGTTAGGCTAACCAAAGTATATATTTTTTGTGACATAAACAGTGAGCATCTGCACCGTTTGATGTTTGCGTGCAAATTGAAATGATGCCTGCAATTCACCAGCCTCAAAGTGACGAGCAGCTCAACAAACTGTTGACCTTGTACTTTGCGTGGGAACTTTTTTCCGTTAGGAGGAGGGGCAATTGTGATACAGGGAATTACGACGAGGGCATTAAAATCCGGTAACTCAAATCGAAGGTAAGTAAGTCAATTTCTGGCTCTTTTCCGTATTGAAAATGCACAGAACTCAAATCTCGTAGTCAATAGTTACCATAACGTAAAGAGATGTCAGGAAATACATCAATAAATGAACAAATAACAAATAACGTATTTTTGATAGTTCAACAAATAAGAGGATTGGTTATCGGATGCATGGCCTAATAATCCAAGCAGCCAATCACTTTCAACATTCAAGTTACTACTTCAAATTTGATGGCACGTTGTCTCATCTTTTTAAAATTTTCATCCGGTGTTTGGTATTCGTTTTGAAGCCCCGACTTATTCGAGTATAAAACCCATTAAAGGGAGAATCGTTCCTTATCGGGAGTTTTTCCTTTCTCAAAACTTAAACGCGAGACCTCTAATTAAGAGTGAATGAATTTGATCATCCCACTGTAACCTTTGTACGTTGTCTCATTACCTAGACGATTAAGAGCATTTCACTGAAAAAGTGAGTATCTAAATTCTTAAGCCAATACAAGGGAAGTAGGGAACTATAATTTGTCACGCCATGGAATCTTCAACATGGCCAAATTTTTCTGTGATTGATGGCACCATAGGCATATATATACCTGTTATCTCCTATGGCTATGGCCTTTACAGGCAACATAATCATGGTAACCTGCCATCTATTTACTTCTTAAACCACACTTCCATAAGAAGACCAGTAAAACTGCCAACTAATCGTAAATTTTGGATCTAAAATATTAGTAAAAATCCCCTGTAATTATAAGTTTTTATAGTTAAAAAAAGAAAATTGCATCCTTGTTTAAGTCATCAAATTACAGTAATTTGCCCAAACGAATTTAAGTTATATACGCTAAAACTCGGTATAATTTGATTTTTTATAATAGATTAGTTACCATTTCTACCAGGTTTGAATTACATGTTACCAGTTTTTCTCTCTTTTCTTTCTTTCTCTTGCAATCATAAATATGCAACTCCTTAAAAATGTCTTAGAAGACTAATTTAGATAATATATCAGAGTATCAATCAGTGAGCATTCAATCCCTTTTGAGTTTCAAGTATTGGTAACATGTAATTCACGAAAAGTAGCCAGTTTATCCTTTCGAACAGAAAAGGGAAAGGAAAAACCAGTTTACATCATTGTCTACTTTAACCACTTGAGAATTCCAACTATCGTAAAAACAACTATAATAATCAATAAAACTAGAATAGGGATCATCATACTTAAGCTCCCGAAAAGAATCACAACCCTTATAACAGTTTTACACATATCAATTAGCTAGTATACAATGACCAGGCTACAACTTTCATACAAAATTCTATTAATCCGTGATCCCAAAAGCAAGACTCACCTTAGAAGAAAATAAGGATCAAAAGAATCCCAAGCTGACTCATCAATGATCTTTTGGCTAAAATCACACGAACCTTCACCGATCATCTTGTCGTGTAACTTAACCACCAATGAGAATAAATTAGATAAAAATGGGTTTGAAAGGAACGGTTGTATGGCCTCACCAATTTCTTGAACTTCAGGGAGCATCAACTTTCTATCTTCTGGTTTCCCCTTAAAAATACAGTTTGACAAGGCATAAAAGGCAAGTAAATTTGCATAGAGAGGTAAGAAGGCATCTTTATGGTTACCAACCCCACCAATCCAATCAGCGCCTCCCTGTGCAACAACGTAGTCTTTGGCAAATAGTACCAACTTCTGCGCAAACCTCCTTCTCCAGTTCTGCAAAAAGTCTTTCACCTCATGTACGTTACAGGGTTCAACTAACAAAAATCTTGAAGCTGGAAGCTTCTCCAAATGAAAACAGCATATCTGGCAGATCAACAGTTTTTCTTCATGATGGTTGTCAATCTCCTTGTCAAAGACACGTTTGACAAGATCTCCTTCGGAAATAAAACAAGGATGGTTAGCAGAACCTAGAACCCTGCGGCAAAGGAAATCAAGGTAGTCAAGACAGTGACCAAAAATTGATGAGAGATGCTTGAAGCTCCTCTCAATCACTTGCTCTACTTGGCTTGGGACCACTCCTGTCACGAAGCTTCTTTCAGATCTTTTAGATGCAAGACAATTCTGGACATCTAAGGCGAGTTTTCTCCTAAGATTCTCATCTTCATCCTCAAGAAGCCTAATGCATGAAAACCATAAATCCAGGATTTTATGGGCATACATATTAACCACCTTTTCTTGCTTGAACGAGGAGCAGAAATTGCCATCAGGAATTTGGCTATTGTAGACTGAAGGACCAATAACTTCGGCTTGATCCAACAAACCAGATGCTATCATAGACTCTGCAGCCGCCCTACGCATGTTTACAGGCTCTGACGCATCAGTGTGTTGTTCAATTAGGTCTACATAATAGCTGATGCACTCGTAAAAGACAGATAATGTAGATGGATCAGATGGATCATGGGGGTTAAATTCACCAGCTTTGACATTTTGCAAATCTATAACTGAAATACGAAGCAAGCTAGCAAATTGCTTTATACAAATCCCCATGCAACAAAGAAGCATCTCTCGAGTCTTTGAATGCCTAGTGACCGTGTATAAGGAAACCACCTTGTCCCAGAACTGGAGCACTGACTCGCTATCCATATCACCAAAAAACTTAGGATCTGCACATTCTTCTCCATTATTATGATACTCCTGCTGACTCCAGCTGTAGATAATCTTCAGAATGTAGTTCAAACATTTATGGTTATTGTCCAACGTTAAAAGCTTCATCAAACTGGTCTGGAGATCGACGCTGGTGAAGCAACTTCTCTTTATCTCATTATATTCTGGTGACTTGAGAAATAAAAGAAACCACTTCAGTGTTGCAATCCGAACTTCATATGAAGTGTCAGAGATCGAACGTATTAGCCTTTCCTGGAATCTGCTGAAAGAAATTTCATTTACAGATATCTTTGATAAGTTTGAACCAGAAGGAGGGCCTCCTGATGGTATTAACGGATACTCTTCAGCAACTTCTTTAGATGTTTGGTAAACACAATTAAAATATGAACTTGCAGCTTGCTTCCGAAGTTCTGAGATGGTTGGATCAAAATATGTTGGTGCACAAACCACTCCTAAATCTAAACATTCTGAAGATAGCCTCCAAAGGAGGTTCCAAATGACATCAATATTTTTGCTCATTTGACATGTTCTTGCAACACTTAGCATGCTATCTAGCACCTTCAAAAAGCAGCTGTTGATAATTGGGCAAGGACATTGCTCAGGACTCCCAATCCATGAGCGTGAAGCAAGAATATGAATCAATTCAGCAAGAATATTATCTTTTTTGGAAACATCAACTAGATCTCTGCAGTTTGTGTCTATAAGAGAGTTCAACTGTAATAACATCCCATGAAGTGAATTAAAAGAGCTATTTACTCTAATGGAAGAGAGAGAGACGTCAGAATTCTCAACGTGCTCGCCAGCGCCTGGTAACTCAGAGGCAATATTTAGGAGGACAAGTGGAAGCTTTTCATTAGACACTAAACCTGTTAGAGCTCTTGAAGCAAAAACACGAATACGAAGATTGCTCTGGACTGAGCATTTCCTGATGAGTGGCATGAACAGGAAAGGATCCAGGGGATCTCCAGCTTCACTTGCAATTGGAGAAGGTTTGAGTCGAGATAAGAGTATCAGGACTGGACATAAGCTGGGGTGCACAACTTTAGCCATGCTGGACCGTAAATGTTCAGATGATCCGTCCAAAAGTGACTCAGTTGCAATTTTTAGCTCATTAAATAAGAACGAATGCAAGGGAGGGTACCTACACGACAAACAGTCAGGAAAGTGATTAGAGAATATCTGCTTTGGCATAAGCGAATAAATGTGTTTTCCTTAAACAAGACATAGCATCAATCATACCCACAAATGAAACAACTAGTGGACATAAGAACAGAATCTCCATAAGCCAGAAATAATGATGATTGATTACTTTGTCATCTTCTACAGAATCACAGATTCAATTTCCTAAAATCAAACACTTGGTCCACACTTCAGAAACAATAGAAGATACATGACAAAAGCAATCAATAAATAGTACTGTTCAGATATACTCTCTCCGTTTCAAAAAAATGAACTTATTTCCTTTTTAGTCAGTTTCAAAAAGAATGAATCCTTTCTAAATTTGAAAAAAAAATTAACTTTAAAATTTCCCTTTTACGCTTAATGAGACGATTTATAGCCACACAAATATTTATGGGTTATTTTAGATAACAAGTTTCAAAAGTCTTCTCTTTTTTCTTAAACTCCGTGCCCAGTCAAATAGGTTAAAAAAAATTGAAACGGTGGGAGTATGCATCAAGCCAACAAAAAATGAGTACAAAAATTATGTTCTCAGATTTAAAACCTCACACAAACCAAAGAAACTAAAAAAAATG